TGCTGCTCTGCTCGTCCGCCAGCCGCCGTGGCTTGCACGGGGGCCGGCCGGAGCAGGGCTCACCGTTGTCCAAGTACTGGACGGTGGAGTTGCGGGAGTAGCTGGGGTTGAAGTTGGCCATGAGGGGTGCGATGTACTGCGTGGCCGTGAGCATCCGGTGGATGACGTCCCCCATGAAGATAAAACCTGAGCGAGCAGAGGAGGGTGAAGCAGCGCACACTCCCCTCCCCCGCCCCGGGATGCTCCCTCCCTCTTTCTGACCTCCCACTACCCTGCCCTGGCTCACCCATCCCTTTTTTTACCCCCAGCATCCCCTCCTGGCTTTCCTCCAAGCCTGCGTGACCCCCCCTGCATCCCCTCAACTGCTGCAGAAACCGAGGCACCAGCAGCACCCGACTCCCTGAGCACCAGCAGCAGGGCAGGGGTTAGACTTGGGGTGGAGGGAAAAAGCTAGAAGGGCTGCAGCCCCTTCTCTGTCTGAGCTCCCCGGGCTCTGGGACGTGGGGTGAGGTTAGAGCCAGCCCCAGAGCTGTGTCCAGCCCCTCCACCGCGGGAACGCCGGCTGAGCGGTGGGTACCCTGTCCCATCCCGACTTACCACCCGTCGCTATCGTGACCTGCCGCAGGAGGTGGCCGTAGAATGGGAAGTCAAAGGAGAGGACGATTCTCTGCGGGAGGGAGACGGGGTGAGAACTGCGCTCAGCCCTTGGAAAAATACCTGCTGGGGATGCGGGGGGACGGGTCCGTGCCCACCGGCACCGGCTCTGCCCTGGCTTGGAGCAAGCTCCTGGGGCCGGCGCATGGAGGGGTGGGAGAGGGATGGGAGCGAGGGTCCTGAGGGTGCCCGGTCCCCACGGCTCATCCCCTTCAGCCCTGGACTGGGGGCTAGGGGACACCAAACGCTTCCCAAGCCTTGGTCTCCACCAGGCTGTCACAGGGACGTGGAGGGGCTGCTGCTGCCCTGGGCGAGGTGCCACCATCGGGAAATCCCTGCTGGGAGAGGAGACCCGGCGGACACCCCCGGCTGCAGAACAGCCCCGCGGGCTCACCGAGGCCTGCCGGTGCGTGTTGGAGAGGATCCCGTGGATCTTCACTTGGCTCCTGTTGGCCGCTGCCATGTCGACCCACAGCCCCCTCAGGCGGGCGTCCCCCGGCCCGTAGATCCGCGACACGTAGTAGCTGTGGTTGTCCTCCTGCAGCCGGGGAGGGACAGGGTGACAGGGCACAGCATTACCCAGCTTGCTCCGTGGAGATGCAAACCCCCAGGCACGGCTCAGAGCAGCTGGGACAGCTGGTGGGAGCCCGACCCTCGTCTCAGCACAAAGCAGCAATAGAAGCAGCACAGAAAAACCCCGTGCGAAGCCAGCAAAGGACGCTGAGCAGTTGGAGAAGGTGCAGAGAAGACCCACGAGATCGACTGAGTGCAGAGAGGACGGGCTGGCTGGCAAGAGAGAGACGTGACTCACGAGAGACTTCAGCAGATGCAACCTTCCCGGGAAGAAACTATCCTGCTCTAGAGCCAGGAGACGGAAGCTACAGCTAAAGTGACCACTAGAAGCGAAGCAAACAACTGGAGGCATGGAAGCCCAGAGGAAATGATTAACCTTGGAACAGGCAGCTCGGGGAAGGCAGCCGAGCCACCGCCGCCAGCCGAGTGGGAGCGAGGGGCTGAGGACGGGGTACGTGGCGGGGGGAGCGGGGCTCTGCAGGGCATGGGCTGCTCTCCTGGATGAATCCCCGGAGCGTGCATGGGGCATGGCTCTGCGTGAGCTATCAGATCCCCTTGCTATTCTCACACAGAGCAAGGAGAGCGACCCTGGGCATCAACCCTGAGCCTTCCCAAGCTGCCAGCGGCACCCCAGGCTCCCCGAGCCCCCTCTCCCCGGCAGACCGGAGCGTGGACCACACGGCAGCTCTGCCAAGAGCCATCTCAAGCTGATCAGGGATCTATTGAAGGATGCACATCCCGGCTGGGGACCCGCACGTGGCTCTGTGGCAGCTTCCTTGGGGACACCGGCAGAGCGAGTGATTTCCCGGGGCACAGCCAGCCCTGCACAGCCCGTGCCCTGGCCACGCTGGTCCCACCGTGCCTCTCCGAAGTGATCTGGTGTGCGGCCGGCCGGGGACACAGCTGGGAGCTG